GCACATGGTCCGAGGTTCAATCCCCTGGCGACCCACACCTGATATTTATGGTCGGCCTGCAAAATTTAGACTACCGATATCCATGCTGAAAATTCCATACTTGTACAAAAAATTAGAGTCTGGAATAAAGCTGTAAATAAAAAAAACAGCTTATATTTGGGTAAAAGCCATGAAGTCACTTGATTAAAAGAAGGAGGAGGAGAATGTCCTGGGAAACATTACATAACAGACAATAAGCAAGCTTATACTCGCCCGCTTATTGTATGTTGGACAATGAATTGGATGCATGGCAGTAACACAGAAGCGGTAATTTAAGAACCAAAAGTTGTTAACGCGTCATGTGAGATGTTTTGCACGTCTATAATATTCATGAAACCACATTTCAAATGACAACATCACAACAAACCGAAAACAGACCAGTGGTCATTCCTCATATACTAATATTCTGTCGGTAAACTGCTGTAAACATTTTGCTAGAAAAGTTTTTAGTTGTAATCACTTCAGACTAAATGCGAAGACATTTGTATAAAAGTCGTGAACAGACTAGGAATATAAACAAAATGTGCATGAAATTCACTGGTAATTCTTCGCACATAATATATAGCAAATAAGGTATTAGGGTATTTAATACCTCTTCAATATCCAATATATCCAATATCCTGATTACGAGCTAGTATAAACCAGTGATTTCTTTGAGCTCGCTTCTTGATTGTGAGGTAGAGGTTCCAGATCTTCGGTGAGCTTCTGCGTAGTAAGTCCCGCCACTCGACTGCTTTAGCTCTGGTAGACTCCAGGAGGAGTGGTGCGGGGATTGGTCGAGATGTGGTTTGTAGTATGCAGTATGTTAGGACTGTATTGCTGCCGTGAATGGAGTTTGACCTAACTCCCGTTGGTCATTCGGTGTAGTCATAAAAGCAGAATAGTAATAATAATAATAATAGGTTGTAGTGTAGATAATATAGGTTGAGATAAGTGGAATAATAAAGGTGACCTAAGGAAAAGATAGAGTGAGAGAAGGCAGAATAGGTCGTGGGGATTTAGTTTGTACGCTTATCCATTGACAGTGTGGTTTCAAGTTTTATGAGGATAAGCCATTGAGACACAAACCTTGCATTTCTGCATGATTGTCTAGCTTCCGCTTAAAAATCTCCAGAGATGGCGCTGTAGTCACGGCCGCCGGTAAAGCGTTCCAGAGACGGCAAACACGAAGCGAAAAGAAATGTGATCGCACTCGAGTCTTTGGTCTCTGGTGTGCTATCCTTAGCGGGTTACCTCGTGGAAGCCTATAATCACTTAATGGCAGGATGCTTTTATTTGGGTGGGCCTGGTCATTTAGGATCTGGTAGACGGTGATGAGGTCTCCCCTGTGCCTTCGGTAACTAAGTGTGAAAAGACCTAATTTCTTTAGTCTTTCCTCATATGATTTGTTGCGGAGGCCGATCACCCATTTTGTCGCTCGTCTCTGGACACTTTCTAGAATGTTAGCATCCCTTTTGAGTAGCGGAGGTGCAATGATATTATGCACCTCAAGGTGTGGCCTCACATATGCCTTATATAACCTTAAGAACAGTTCGGGAGTGAGAGCTCCCAGCTGCCTATGCATAAAGTGTAATGTTGCGTAGGCTTTGGCGACGTCCCTCGAGTAATTTCCACTGGTGTCTAGCTTTTCTGTTAGAATAAGACCTAGATCTCGCTCTGATGGAACACAACTCAAGTTCTGGCCACCAAGGGTGTAATTTACACTCTGTGACCTGCCGGAATGAAGTTGCACTACTTTGCACTTCTTTAGGTTGAAAGGCATTCCGTTAGCCAGAGCCCAGTTTCCCAGAGTTTGCAGGTCAGCCTGCAATCTGTCTGAGTCTTCCGATGAGTTTATTGCTCTCCAAATCTTTACGTCGTCAGCGTAAAGAAGCGCAGAGCAGTTTAGTTGGGAGGGCAGGTCGTTGATAAAAATCAAAAACATCAACGGCCCTAGGATAGAACCCTGAGGAACCCCTGATGCCGAGGTGTGCCAGGATGATCGGATGCGGTTGACTTTGGTGCAGAATTCTCTCTCGCCTAAGTAATCTTTCAGCCATGCGAGAAGTGCTCCAGAAACACCCGCCTTGCTTATTTTGTGAAGGAGCAGACCATGGTGAACTGTGTCGAATGCTTTCGCAAAGTCGAGAAAGATCACGTGGGCTGGTACCTTTTTGTCCCAGGATAGTGTCCAATCGTTCCAAGCTAGTAGAAGATTCGTCACGCAGGATCTTCCCCTCCTGAAACCGTGCTGTGCTTCGTGAAGAAGGTTAGTCCCATCGAAGTATTTTCTCATGTGGTCGTCAATGAGACTTTCCAATATCTTCGATATCACTGGAAGTAGAGCAACTGGTCTGTAACTGGTCGCATTCTGCCGGTCACCACCCTTGAAGATAGGGGATAGGATTGCACGTTTCCATTCACATGGAAGTTTCCCTACATCAAGGGAGTGTTGGAACAGATCACTTAGGGGTTGGCAGAGACTTTCTGAACACTGCTTCAGGACAGATGGTCTGATGTCATCACAACCTGAAGACTTTCCCGAAGCCAACCTTCCCAATTTTGCAAGTACCATAGCCGGGGTAATTTGAAATGTACCCAGCAGGTTTTCGCGTGTTGGTTTTGCGATGTAATCTGGATGTTCTGTGGGGTAATATCCTCGTTACTGTTTAGTTGCCTGTGAAAGGCTAGGCTGAATGTCTCTGCCATTTCAAGACTAGTAAGAGATTTCCCATCAGAACCCACTAGATTGCATGCTCCCTGGTTGGTCGGTTTTCTTTCGGACATAAACCTGTATAGGCTTTTGGGGTTCACGAGAAGCTTATTGGCGAGGTCTCCCTGAAATGTCCTTCTATCGCTCCGGACTCGTATGTTACATCGATTCCTGAGTTCAAGGTACACTTCATGTTCGGGTTGACTCTTCGATCGTCGCCACGCAAACCAGGCTTTTCGCTTCGCCTGCAGAAGGCGTTGTGTCCCCCTTTTAGCCATGATCGTTGCTTCCTAGCTTTTGGCGTGACTAAAGGAACAGTGTCTGAGACCGCCTGGTGAATGATCTCCTTTACCACTCTCCAGTGTTCTTCAACTGTTAGCTCTGTCCATTTTTTAGGCCAATTTGCTTCAGACAGAAGTCTTCGCATTTTGGTGTAGTTGGCTTTGTTATAACACAGATAGGGCTGTGTATTGTCCCACTGTAAGCGCTCGCGGAGGACTATGTCGAATACTATGACCGCGTGGTCACTACTACCTATGGGAGTCGTGATCTGAACGTTTTCCACTAGTAGCTGGTCACTAGTGAGCACGTAATCCAGTCTAGAAGACTTCCCATCAGGGCCCCATCTAGTATCCATCTTGACATTTTCAGTGAATCCAGCCTTCCTGATGGTATGCAGCAGATTTCGATCAAATCTATCATGGGCTTTTCCCGACACTAAGTTAAGAGATGGGGCACTAATAGTTCAATTGATTTAATACTGAAATGTGTAACCGTGCGGTGGTCATATTAATATATGAAGATTTTATAGGCTTAGAATGCTCACTGATGTGCATTTTTAGAAATTATGTATTGGAATACTCTGAAAGCTTTCTCAAACTTTTGATCACCGTGTACATTACTTTATCAAAGTTGGGTATCTTATAATTATTTATGTGAGAAGGTTTCTGGCCTGCCGAGTCACATTGACTGTTGAAATTAAAATAGCTTTTTTAGAGGCGCAGCAGTACTCACAAATATTTGATATGCTATCTTTTGAAGAACTTTAATTAATACAGTTTTATATAAATTATAAAATATTGGGTGGAGACTTGTTCAGCATCACTTTAAGAAGAAGGACTTCATAAGCCTGTACTCGACTGATAGCTAATTGCTTGCTGCTAACGCCGGTGCTAGTTTTTCTCCTCCTAATTCCACTCAGAAAAGTTTGTGTCAACGATGTGCTACTAAGCAACGAACAAATCGTCGAGTGAATACCTAACACTGATGTTAAATTCAACAGTGTTGAAAATCATAGCCAATAATTCGATGGTACTGCCTACAAAGATTTAACTACAGGGTGAATTTAAAGGATGGCCATGAATAATGCAGAAATGGGCTTAGACACAAGGGTTTAGAACAGCATTTTTAGTTTAAAATTAAATAGTTTCCGAGATTTTTTCGTGTACTTTGCGTCCGTTTTGTAAAACTGGGTGGGGATAAACTTTAAAATATCTTTTATCAGGAGCTATTTAAGACAAACAACAGTGGAAAGGCAGTTAAAATTCTTAAATAAGTTTTGCGATCAGTAAATACTGTGAAAGTTTTCATTCAGTAAAACTGAATCACTGAAAAATCACCTGTGACATAACAAAAGCAGCTAAATATATGCTTAAGTAACTAGCTGCTCGTTTGTTTCACTGTTAGATCTTTTAAATTCCTCTTAATCTTAGTAACCGTAACATGAAAACAGAACTTCAGCCACAGTCTCATTAGTCAGATACAGGAGCTTGGGGGATTCACTTGATTACAATTTATAAATATATATTCTTCATAGAAAGATTAGTGGATTTAAATTCTTTTAGCTAGTTACCAACCCTTAACTGAAATGATACAATTTTTTGACATCACGGATAACTAAATGTAAATTTTAAAAACCAAATGGTGTATTTTTCGCAGAAGGTATATTGTTAAAACAGAAATGTCTGAAAGAGGCTTCGTGGATTGTTTCAGGCAGGTAATAGGATGTAAATTCTTGGCTCACAAATGAAAATGAAAAAGATTTATTATCTCTACGCAACCTTAGGCCTGACATTCATTTACTCTGAATGTTCTGTTTTGAAGTATTTTCATTCAATTTCACGTCTTTCGCAATACGTCCTTCAGAATTACATTAGTGTGATGTGTTTGGGATAAATTTATTATTGACTAATTTCTCCATTTATTAACTGTATTACTTACCTATGCTCACAAGCGGTTTATTCCTTTGTGTTGGTAGAGCTGGCATAAAATGAATTCATCAGGAAAAGACATTCACCAGATTGGAAATTTCCAGAAGAGTTTGGATGAATATGTCGAAGGTACTTCACATATGATAACAACGAAGCGCTTTAAAAAATTTTCAGAGAAAGAGAAGTTAAAGAATCAGTTGTCTTCAGCAAAAGCGGAAAGTAGTCAGCTGATGGATAAAATAAAATCAGGTAGACAAGAAATAGTTCTCATCTTTATTAAACTTTCAGCGAAAGAAGAAATGAAAAAGATAATTGAAGAAACTGAAAAAATACGAAGTAAGATGAACATTTTCACTTTCTTATATTTTTCGCTAGTGAAGAAAAGAGTTCTAATTAGAATGCTGAGGATTGCGAAAGATAGACAAAACAAGTAAGAAATATTTGTTACTCTTCGCCAGGCAGTTTTATAATCGGGAAACTAATGAGTTCTGCTATACTTTATTTTGCTTTAGGAAACGAGCAGTTAATCTGCTGGAGATGTCTGGAGAAATAAGACTGTGACTGTCTTTTCCATTAATATATACGTATATAATATGTATTACATAATATGATAATAAGATTGACATAGATGATAAACGTACAGGGGAAGATGGCAACACTAAAGCAGGGGAATTTTAAACATAGATAATGATACCATACAAAAGGTATTCTATATAGCCCTTCGTTAAATTCTGAAGAAGGTAGGGACTAAAGGGAAATCTGAACTCATAAATTCACTCTGAAACAGGTTATTTTGGTTAAAGGATCCTTTAGAAGCCATCACATAAATTAAATTGGTTTATAAAGTAACTTGCGATGACTTTGGGGGTCAAAAACTGAGGTCTAAAGAATAAGCCAGATTTAAACGATTAACGGAAAAAACGCTCAAGTGAGATCCAGACTATTTTTACTAGTTTCTTTTGTTTTGAATGGAATGCAGGGTTTTGGAGGCATAAAAATCTAGACTGACAGACCCTAATATGATGAGAAGTCCCACAAATACTTAGCTATATAACTACAATTACAATGGGGTGAGATAAGATGGCAGTAATAAGTTGTAGTGTACCTGTGAGGAGAGCAGGCTAATAACTGAGGTCTTGTCTATTAAAAAATTGAGTACACATGCAATTAAAATCCTTTGACATCGGTTTCGGACGATTTATACTACGACATTTTATTCGCTAAGTTTGATGAAAACATTCCTAAATACTAAGAAGAGAATTCTCATTTCGTGTGTCAGAAAACACCTCAGTGTACATGAAATATATGTTAGATTCCCAAAAATTATCTGAAATTTCAATTTCATAACTTAAAATTACGGCGAGACTGTAACAGAAGGATGTTAACTGACTTTTCTTATTTGGAGCTTAAGTCAGGAAAGGCTCCTCGACCTAAACCACAACAAATGTTGACGCTAAATTGCACATAATTGTCACCCAAATAAATGAATAGATGAATACAATGAATCTGGTTGAGTGATCTGTAATTAATAAGTATGATCGCTTATGAAGTCAAAACAGAATAACTTTAAGGTGTTTGATGCGTACATCACATAAATGTTCCGTACTGTAAAATTCTGAATGCTTATCTAGCCGTAGCTCTCTAATTGTGTAATGAAACCTGCAGATACTGGTTAATTAGCTTTATATAGTGTATACAGACATGGTGTATTAATTTATTCAGAGACTGCGTATATAACATTTAAGTGATTTTTTGAATTAAGATACCAAGAAGAACTGAATTCATTGCAAACAAACAAAGAAAAGACCAAAAATGCTATAACAGCAAAACTTGAAAGTTGTTTGGATGAAAGGTAACCAATATATGAATTATTTTTAAATTTTTTACCAATAAAAAACACCTGTGCTAATAGAATCGGCCATTTGGTAGAATGTATAAAGTATTCAGAAAATCACTGGCTTTTTCGAAATCTACCTAATACAGATTATTCAAATGATTTAGAAGAACAGAAGACTGGAGGAGAGGAAATATCCCCTCAGGAGGATCATTAAAACTACAGGTTTTCATGTTATTTTTGTTTTCTGCAACTTGTCAACTGAGACTTGTTACAAGTGAAAACAATCAAGTTTCAAATTACTGTTACTGTTGTTGTGTTATGTTATGCTGCTTTCAGTCGTTGTTTTCACTGTGGTATTTTGAATAGATAAAGTTGAACAAAATGAGTGGTATTTTCTGATGAGTAATGATGTGATCGGCTGACGTTTTTCAACTTTATAAGTTGTACATTCATATACTTATTTAAATTTGATCATTGTTAGATCTATGGCTTCCTATTCTAAAATTATGTCTGCTTTTCATATTAAAACAGGTTACGCATTCATAACTGGTCCTGAACATAAAACCATACAGAAAAAAGGGAAATAAGCCGAAGCCTGTCGATTGTTGCTTATAAACATGTTTTCAAAGGACAGTCGGGCTGGACTATGTATGTAGTAAACTGAATAACCCATGTTGTAATGGTTTCAAAAGGGGTATGCGTTATGTACTCGTCGAGTAGTTAATAGTCCTGACGCGGAAAGAGGGAAATCAGAAGACCACCAGGTTTACGATAATACTTGTATTTTCCAGACAAGGAAAATAATTGTCACACAAGGGTGTAAGTGGAATGGTACGTAGTGTACGAAACGTGTGAACAAGTATGAAAAAGTATACGGTGCAAAAGTATATATGAAAATGACTAATACACATGAACCACTAAATAGACAGTCTTAACATGATTGTTTGTAATGTCATGTGACAACAAAGTCATACATGTTTATTTAGTTAGTGGACGGACAAAAGCATATTGTCATTTATAATGATAGATCGATCCATATGCACAGCAAAATATAAGAGACTGTCAAAAACAAAACACACATCATGTGGATACATATCAGTATGGGAAATTACTGAGGAATGATTTAACCAGCCATCTAAACCTTCTCTCGCTCGACATTTCGATGAATGATTACATCCTTTTACTTATGTTAGTATGAATAACACAAATTCAGCAAATGTTCTATTCTTTTCTTATTACTAATGATTTCAGCTTTGGGAAAATATTTGTATAGATCAGAAAAAGTTAAAGGCTATTAAATTATTCTACTTCACACTCTGTTTCATTGATTTTTGGTTGCATTTACAAAGTTTGATTTCATTTACAAGTGCAGGGATTTTCATTTATTGTAGTAACAGATAGTATCGGTAATTAATTAACAGATATTTCAATTCCCAAATACTAAAATAAATTCATTTTCGATTCTGACATAATCATAGGCATTAACTCAGCATTACTTAGTGTATAAACCAAATCATTCACTAAACTTCAATGGCTTACTTTTAGCAATACTTAAAAGCTGACTGATATTCAGGAAACAAATTTCATCAAGATTATTAAACTTATGGCATAAACACATTTCCGTGTATACACAGTGCAAAACAATATCCTAAAGGGTTAAATAAACTGATTTTATAACAGAGTAAAGCGAAAACTAGTGTATGAGAAGGAGTAAATGATTCCAAACTAACATCCTCCCAGGTGTTTAAAAATTAGTGACGTGTTTTAAAATATATTCAAGCGTTGCTGCTTTTTTGAAATATAATTTCCTTAAGGTCCCTACGAAAGACTTGGTATTCCAAGAGAGATTTCTCTTTATTAACACTTTAGGATGATAATGAGATTGAGGAGTTATATATATATATATATATATATATATATGGGAGATGCAATCATTTTTAATCAATTTACTGGACTTGGTAAAGCTTAAAATTTGAACCGGTCAAATGACTTACGTGTTTTCATTCACAGGCTAAAGAGAAGCTTATAAGGAGAATATAATTTGCCAAAAAGAAACCGAAATCGATGCTTTAAAGAATCAAGCAGCTTGAAGTTAAACCGTTAAAATTGTCTGAGTTCTGACGAAAAATACTTTTATTCAAACTCACAATCACTACATGTAGAAGGAGGAGATAATATCTGCAACTATTTTAGATGGTATTATACCAAAATATGCATGGAACTGAAATATTTTCATTTTCATTGTATAAGTATAGCTAGTAGAAGTAAATACCTTTAGAGAAGTTAGAATTAAGAAGAATGAAATGTAGTCAACAACGTGATATGTTCATTTAGACGAACTTTCAAAGAAAAAAATATCTGAACTACTGTTTAATTATTATTCGGTTGGTAATCAAGCTGATGCCTTCGCAATTATGCACTAGAAAGTACTCATTTCAAAAAAAGGCCAGAATTAACTGTGGTATTGTCTGAAATTCCTCTACAGATTACTTTCTATAGTTTGTATTCATTAATGACAGATAAGATATAACAACGCCTGAAACTTAAATGTTTGATTTTGAAAAAAAGCTATCTTCCAAGCACAAGATTTAGTTTTTTGCTAGAATTAAGGGCTGATTGCCTTTTATAGCCCAGTAGACAGATTGCTTTTCATTTTACCTTACGACTTGCTATTTATTATAACAAGGAAATGATGCTATTAAAATGATTACTGATTAACTGGTTTCAGTATACGACTTTACACAAGAGTATAGCGGTTCCAGTTGCCACACTGTCTAGGTGGCACACAAAAGGAGACAGAAGAGTGAAAAAGAGATTCAAAAGAATCATAATATGTAGAAAAATCAGGGGGGGGGAAAGAATAGTAACATGGAAAATGCAATAGAGTTTAATGAAGAATGAATGCATCTACGCCACTGAGAACGTTTTAAGAAGCCATATCATTAAGTGTTTCCAGCCGCTGGCTCTTAGAATTCTTAAGACCCAAGCCATGCAGTCTATACCTTCCTATTTAGCTCATGGACTTATCACAGGTCTTGATTCGGCGAAGTTCAGCAATAGCGTCCCAGGGGTGCGAACGCTCCAATGACCTTGAACGCATGCTAGTCGTTGGCTTATGGCACCTGTCATGATCGGAGCTGAAATATCAGTGATATTTGCCAACTACGGAGCAGATTTCACCCACATCACGTTTTTCAGTACTGCTCGGACAATGTGTTAATAGCTCGCTAGGGTTAGGATTAGGATTAAGGTAAGTACTGGGGTTAGGATCAGGGTCATAATTAGGATTAGAGTTAGACTTACGGTTAAGATAGGGGTAGTAATTAGGGTTAGGGTTAGTGTTAAGTTCAAGGTCGGGGTCACGACTAAGGTTAGGTTTGCGATTAGGGATAGATTTAGGGTAGATGTCATTTATTTTAATTTGTTTTTTTATCCGCATATTCCTGGTAAGTAGTCGTCTGTCATCCTAATGGAAACCATAGTAATTCAACCGAGGGCTTTGGGGAAGACTGCTCAAGAAAATAAAAGAGATAAACGATGCACAAAAACAGCCCATCTCCAATCACCTAGGTGAATACATGTGCAGAAACTAGTCTGACTTAGCTACTGATACTCCTCATTATAACTTGGACACATTTTCAAGTCATGTCAGGAAAAGATACCCTGTTTAATGCGTTTTCATGCATTTTCTTGTAAATATACGTCATCTTTTGAGCAAAAATTCCTCAGTTTTATGATTTGTTCTCTGAAGGTCACCCGTGAGTTCACATCCCCTGGGACGCTATTGTTCAACTTTGAGCTCGATTTGACCATGACTAGCTCTTTTCCAACTTGATACTAACACTACTCTTTGAGGAAGGAGATGGCTAGGCATTCGTAACACATGTCATAGTCATCTTAGTCGATGCAGCTTCAAAACCTCGTTGACTGAATTTCCCTTCCTTACCTAACACTCGATGCTTAACCTGAATATTACACAACCTATTATACTTACTACCTAACACTCACAGTGGTTAGGACTCTCGCCGACCATGCACATGGTCCGGGGTTCGAGCCCACGCCGGCGCACACCTGATATCTATGGTCGGCCTGCAAAATTTGGGCTACCGATATCCATGCTGAAAATTCTATACTTGTACCAAAAATACAGTGTGGAATCAAGCTGTAAATCGAAAATAAAAAAAATAAAAATAAAATCTGAATTACTGAACAGTCATAAAAGTTATCTTTAAATGGTTTGAAATAAATAAATAAATAACTCCATATATGTGCGAATTGGTGGAAACCCCAAGAACTATGAATGACCTTAATTTGATAAAACTAGTAATTAGTGTAAGAAGACTACTTATATGTTAGTTCCATTGGTCAAGTAACAAATCAGAGCTTTTCTTACCATTTAAGTACAAGCTATATATAATAGGTAATAAAAGAACAATTCACAGTACTTTCTAAAGCTTATTCGTATACGCTAATAACAATAATGCTAGTATAATTATCTGTTTAAAAAAATCTTAAGAAAAAACAAATAATGAGCAGTAATGAGTTAGTAAGGGAGAAATCAACAAGTATACCTCGAGTGCCTGATAGTTATGTAGATAAAAATTCTGAGCATACATCTCTTCGTACACGAAGTATATATCTTGTCTATCCACCTCCAGTGAAATATAATCCAGCTCCACCGCCTAGAGTTGATCCTTATTTCTATTCTAAACAATGTAAAACTATGCTAGCTGAAACTTCTAACGCAAGTCATTATATTCATGAACGTGCAAATCTTATGCTACGCAAAGAATATGAACGGTTTCATAATCAATGGTCTTCTTATTATTATGGAAATAGAAAAGAGAAGGAGGATTATCGGTAAGTCAAATATTACCAACAATCAGTTTAGCAATATAACATTTCATGTTATATTTACCAATCATGCATACATGTATGTAAAGCTGTAAAGTGAATTCATATTAAAAGACGAAACAGGTTTTTGTGAAGAACTGTCATCCAGTTAAAAGCTACACTCGATTTTGTAAGAATATATAACAATTGAAAAATTTATTTGAACAAAGCAAGACTACAGTTTGTGCAGGATAAAGTGGTACCATCTTTTATTTCATCGCCTCATCAGCTGCTTACAGGCCAAATTCATTATTAAATATATCTACAAAAAGAATTTTAACATACTTGCACGGAGTTCATTTTAAACAAAAATCAATTGAT